CTTTATTATTAAGCAGTGTATCTCTTACAGTTTTCAACTTTATTGCTGTCATTGGAAGAGAAAGCATAGGGCTTGGATTAAAGACCAGCGGACCTTGATTTGCTCTACTTAGCCAGATCAGCCAGAACAACCCACCGCGACGAGTGTGTGCTCGATCACCAGGAGGAGAGGAAGACAGTCGTAAAGATGGCCCAACTTGGACTTATGGCTGCCCCCGGATAATGTCCGGTTTGGTCAAACAATGGGAAATCAGAGACTGGTGTGCCCACATCTGTACATAGACGTGCTCTATCATCCTCCCGGATCAAGCGCTCGATGGGCGGGTTGTGTTCTGAGCCGACAGAGAGCAGAACGAGAGGAGGCGGATGCTTGGTGCTCAAACAGTGCATGGACAATACTTCTTTTTATGTGAAAATGACCATATAAAACCATATTTTTCATCACTATCTGGTTGCTGCTGTTTGTGTATATGTATATAAATACCCCTTTATATTTTAGTTTATGTTATTCTAACATAAATATAATTACCTGTTGTTCTATAGCATGAAAGGACTGCAAACTTTCAGTTCGCTGTACAACCTTGTGTTGTATAATGATGAATACATTTCTGTGATCCTTTATCCTTCCTTGATCCTTGAATTGTAATAAGCCTGCAATTACTTTATACCGCAGGGCGTAAGATTCATTTCTGTTAATTAATTAGCTAACATCAGTTCATCATTATAATGATTGATCACTAAGTTACCGTGAGCTTGGTGGCTCGCGCAGACGTCTCGTGGAAACTGAGCATGACAATCTCCAAGCCGTGACTGCCATAGGTGCCTTTGAAAAGGCCCGGCTGCAGCAGGTCAGAGGGCATCACAGGAGGCAGGTAGATCCTCCGGTATGTCAAGCAGTTACTGTCAAAAGAAAGCAGATGAAAGCCACAGCTTTTTACCTGCGCCTCCAATCAGAACTACATGGACGGGCTATACATGAATTCATAAGAGAACCATCTCTTACAAGCCCCTCTTTGCATCACTGGTTAACCTATAAAATCTACCGAGGCATTACATTCATTGAAACTGTTGATTTCAGCCACAAAGAAAGTCTGATGTAAGGAAGAGAGTCATACTCGTATTGACTAGTATAAATAAACTTCATCAGAATGAGCTCCTGCATGTGCTCGTGGAAGATTTCTTCCAGTGTCCGACCCCATTCTTCCTCCAACCACGTCCTGAACTCCTACACACAGACACACACACACAAATTAGATAACAGTAACATAACAGTATAATGATATATAATGAATAATAATTACCATTATAAGTAAGTAGGCTTTAAAGACAAACAAGGTAAGTGAGTATTTATAACAAGTCATTATCAGGTTTCACATAGTAACAGTTATCTGATTTGACCCACTTCCTGTCTGCCTCCTGGCATGCGGTGATAATCGGTCTGGTTACATTTGGTTGAAAATTCATCCTTCTTGACAGTCTGAAAATAACACAATGACACATATTAAAGGACGACCTACTTTTATTAGCTTCTAACCTCGAATTAAAGTATTCTTTGGCACACTGAGAAGCGTTTGTGCCGTTTAAGCCCTGTACCTGAATGTCTCCTTTGTGGGGACCTTTGTGTCCGTACATACACTCCACAGTGGCCTTTTTGCTCTCCCACAAATGGATGCGGAAGAGCGGACGTCTTCTCATGGGATCTTCCACACGGGGGTCATGAGGTGGCAAATACATCCAGCCAATGATGAAAAGCCCGTCCACCTGAATGAAACACACACACACACCAATTCATTTCAATTCAATTTCAATTGAAAGTATCATAAGATATTGTTTGGTTCCTTGCTGAAAATTGCTGTCATTGTTCCTCATCTTAATGGAAATGTCTTGATTGAGAAACACTGCTTACCACAACGTTGAGCAATCCGCCATAAGGCCCTATGTCAGGCTGCCATAAGCCCAAAATATGTCTGTACGGGTGAAGCACTGCAACACAAGAGCACAACATCACACCGTACTGATCAGTTTCTGCAATGTTACACCCACCTTTTACTATGAGCTACACTTTGCATGGTTAAAAACACAAGAGGAGATGTTAAAACCTACAGACTCAACCTTTTATTGAATGTCTGTGAGGATGGAGTCTATGAGATGTAAACCCAAAGGGAAGAAAATGTAAACTGACCATTTTCCTGGCAGCCAGTTTGAACAACACACACAGCATACCAAAAATGATCTGGCCTCCCATTTCACACTTAATATGAAGGCAAACAGTGCTAAGGTGAAGTATCAACACATTCACCGATCACACAGGATGCATAAACACTGCTGCAACTGTTTGCTTACAAATTAAATCAATAAGAGTCCCACTCACACAACCCCTCATGCTGTAGCCCTCCACTTTGAGGCCCATGTACATACAGTGTGTGTACACGTCTCTATAGTCCATGTGCTCGTAGTCCGGGAGGAGCTTCATAAAGCGCCCAGATTTCACCCGTGGGTTGACACCTGGACAGGCACAACACAGGCATGTGTAGAGCAGCCACCAGGACCTAAACAGGCTCAGTCCACTGTAGCCGTCTAGTGAATGCAGTAATGTGCCAAAATAATCTATTCAAAGAGCCAACAGGTGCCAACCACTTTGCCTGGCATGTTTTGTGGCAGCTGGAATTTCAAAATGCAAAATGAGCTCTATATATCTCTGCTGATACAAAAAGGAGGAACAGATGGGAGAGACTACATTAAAAAAAAAAGGTTTTATTATCAATAGTCTATGTGGATCAGACAAACCACATTTATATTAAAAAGGAAATTTGCTAGGACTGTTTCCCATCTGCTGCAAATCACAGTCTGAATTAGGGAGATCTATCTAGACACACATACACACAAGAAAATATGAGGGAGCAAATATTGAATGACCCGATGGAGTATGACTGAACCAAATACTTCACTGGACCAATGCATGGGTGACATGAAAACTGTTAATCCAGCCGTCAAAACTCACGTTTAACATAGAGGTCCCGGCTACACACTCCTCCCACTTCCATCTTCCTCAGATCGTCCTTCATACCAAACTCTGCAGAGAGAAAGGGAAATAGGAGCAGGATTAACATCAAATTTGATTCGCTAAGGCTACGTACGCAAAATATCTGTATCTTTATAAGTGGTAATGAAAATGCAGTGAGTCAAATTTTTAAACACTGATTAGATATCTCCATATTTATCTAATTCACAATGCTAATCGTGGTGTTACACATTATTACTAAACAATGGAAAAAGTCAAATCTGACTAATGTTGTCACTGAGAGCAGCCGAACGGGACATTTGCATAGCAGCCAGCAAGATGTATAGTCCACACTGTGACCAGATCACGTCCGATTCACAAGACTTCTTTAGCACAGAGGCACAAGTGAACTGAACAGCTGTTCGGGGCCCAGCAGCCGACCCAAGAACCTTACAAAGGACATTTAAATGTCTCTTGTAGAGACTTACTGTAACTGCTTTCTTCTATCTTGACACCTTTGAAAACGAGGGCTTCAAACAGCTTCTACGGTTTAAATAAAGCATAAGAAGTTAAATTCTTTGATTTCATTCAGTGGTTTTAATGGTACTAAAGTTTTTGTTCTGCTCCATACATAAAAGGGGCCTCCTAGCTTACTGTAAACGCCTGGGGTGTAGTGCTGGGCAGTATACAGGATGAATAGTTTAATAGTGGAAACAACTGCTGTAACTCTGCACAGAGCGCTACGGTCGGGGCAAGCTGTGTATCGTGTATTGAGGGGTGTCCTGTGAACTGCGTACCCTTATTACTAACAGTTATAACTTTATAACACAACAATTAATAACCCACAACTATCTCTCTTCAACACCATGGCACACAACAATTTGTTTCCTACTTGTGCAACAGAACATTTGAGAAATATCTCTTTGAATATTTCAATACTTTTGAGTATTTTATAGTCAGTTTATCGTGTATGCAACTGCTAAAAGGAAGCAATGCTGAAGTTGTTTACATATTTTTTTTTGTTTTTAAGTTCTGCTTTTATTACATTGCAGTTTGCACGATAGTGTACATTCTGTAACTGTTTCATGCTTTCCGATTCCTTTATATATTGTATCATTTTATAGTAATCAAATTTATGTCGTAATGATTATGACACGATTATGTTACAGTGAAAAACAATGGCCACCAAATCCCCAATATTCCCTGCTCATGTTACTGCAACTAATGATTATTTTTTAATTATCAATGAATCTACTAAGCATTCTTCCAATTAATAAATTTCTACGTTTATTTTATTGAGAAAATTACAATGACAAGTTCCCACTGGACAAGTCACAAGTTATGTCTTTAAGCTGCATGTTTTTGTTTGACATTTAGAAAAAAGCAGCATTCTTCTTAACACAATTTAAAGTATGGTAACTAATTTGTCTACTGTGCGAGATTTTATGATACATTTATATCATGATATATCTGCCTTTAATACCTCTGAGTGTAGCTGACTACTGTAGGAAATATTGCACATATAATAATAATAATCAGACTGCTGCTTTATGGAAACACTGGATCTTTCTTTGGTTATTTTATCCATTAACAACTTCTTGTTTGATTTACCAGAAAAGTTAACATATCATAATTACATATGCCATAACAATGGATACATGAAAAATGTATACAAAAATAAAATATTAATTTCCTACAGTTGTTCCAGAGGGACTACTTGTTTCAAAACATCAACAGTGAGCTGGGAGTGTATCTTTATACTTTCACATGCCATTTGTGTGTAACTATATACATTTTATGAGACATATATTTGTTACCACAGTGCAGTCACTTGACTAACAACATGGGCTGGTGGTGCTCAAAGTGTCCGGCCCTGAATCAACAATCTTATCAGCCACACAGAATGGCTGACATGGGCGTAATAACAGTGAGAGGCCTCATTTTTTATTGATTGATTATTTTTTTTTACAGCAGGAAAATGTAAGGAAGCAAAAACGTTCATTTCCTTTTGGTGCCCGTACAGATCAATAGAAATGCTTTTAGTGGGCAGACATTTCCGAGAAAGCACAGCTGTATGCACCGAGCCTAAATAACCTGTCGACGGGAATGAATCTGCTACAGTCTGGGTCCACACTCCACACACATCTCATATTAATGTGTGAGTCCGCTCCTTTATTTAGCAGCGTAACGTTACACGGTAAATATCACTGCTGCTAATATCCAGGAGAAGAAGAAAAAAAAAAGCTATATTTACCTTCCATGCACCGCCTCCTCCAGATGGTTTCGGTGTTGAGCATTTGTTTGAATTTCTTGCAGACGAGGGCGACATTAGGCAGAGCTGTTCCGGGGAGCAAGGAGAATATTTCCACCAAAAGCTCCGGCGGTAAATCCGCTAATGACTGCGGGTGTGGAGGTCCCGTGTGCTCCGTACAGCCTCTTCTTACAGGACCGCTGCCATATTCACAAGCGTCACTCGGCCCTGCAGTGGCGTCGCCGCTCTCCGGGCCTCCTCCTCCTCCTCCTCCCTAAATTCCTCCGCCGCCTGCTGCACCCACCTCGGCTTGCTTCTGGCCCAACGATCCGCTCCTCTTCTCCTCGTCCATGTCTGGAATCGCTTCCCTGGCCCTGCTGGTTCTGCCGCTGTCGCCTCCCTGCACGCCGCGACTGACCCACTCCGCAGAGCCTGGCACAAACAGCCATCCGTAGTTCACCAAACAGGCAACATTAACATCACTGCACAACACATCGTATCAGCTGAAGACTGAGCACTGCCTGCTTCGCCTGTCCTCTGGAGCACGGGCACAACATTTTCTTTCGGACGTCACGTTACTAAAGAGCGTAAAGAGCTTCCCAGAGCTGCAGCTTCATTTCCTCCCTTCCCTGGAAAATGTCTTGCTCATTAAGTTACATCCGTCTTAATTCAACCCCTGCTGTCAATAATTACCACCCAATCTTTGAAGGTAGTGTCTAAATGTAGCAATGCCACTTACTTCTATCTCTATATATGGTCGTATATTGTGTTATCAGACATACTTTATTGATCCCAGGGGGGGAAAATTGTTTGTTTTGGCAGTTGTTCTACTCACACAAGTTAAAGAATAAGAAATAATACTTATATTACAGTATCTACACAGTATATATAGAATAAAAATGCATGTAGGTATATCATATAAGTTAAAAAAAGAAATAAGAGCCTATAATAAAGCCTAACCAGAAATAATATACACAATATATGCTAATATATAAGATGTAAATGTAAAGTGTATTCCCGCAGTGTGTGCTTGACAGAAATTAAATAGTAATGTTTTTAAAGATTGTGGTGTCGCAGAAGTTACGATTATTACCAAGGAATGAACTGAATGTACAGTAACTTTTATTAGATTTAGCTATTTTCCTTTTCTATTTTTTTATTTTATATGTGTATACCAATAATACAATTCTTTTTATTTTATTCTAATATATTTTGTATAGTATTGTTTGTTTGTAGAGATAATGTAAATATAACTATTATCCCCCCAGCACATAACACTACTGAAATACTATTGTTGGGTAAGTCCTGTGTTTTTATATAAGGATTCATATATTCTGTAATGTAAAAATCTTTTAATTAGCACAGTAATTAGTACTATCTGTTGGATAAATGTAGTGTAGTAAAAAGTCAAACATTTATCTGTAGTCCAGGTACAGTTAGGCTAATAATAATATGGCAATGAAATAGAATGAATTTAAAGTAAATTAGTAAAATATTCTTACATAATTCCACCACTAGAGTGAAATTATCCAGGGAATTAAAGTGGAGGCATCTCAATTAATGTCAGTAAGGGGAAAATTTTTTAACATATTATTGTAACGATTACTGTACAATGGAGTATTATTGTAATAGTGGGTGGGTCAAATGCAGAGAACACATTGTGTTTCATGTATGTAAGAATGCTGTAAAATGCCCTGTATTACCTGTAAAAGACAATAAAAGACTGATATTGTATTTGTATTGATGTATCGCTGTCGACATAATAAAATAAAAATATAAATAAATAAAAAAATAAATAAGTACAATAATATGGTTTAAAAATGTTCCCCTACTGACATAAATGAGATGCCTCACTTTAATTCCTGGTAATTTCCCTCTAGTGGTGGAGGATATGTAAGAATTATTTACTAATTTACTTTAATTCATTCCTATTTTCATGCCATAATTATTTATAGGCCTAATTTTACCTGATTACAGATACATGTTTGACTTTTTACTACATACATTTATCCAACAGATAGTACTAATTACTGTGCTAATTAAATTTTTTACATACAGAATATATGATTCCTTATATAAAACAGATTTACACCATCAGGACACACATTTTGAGTCATGTAAATGTGGGAATACCTTTGAGCCCGACCATGGCAACCTGAAGCAACAACAGGGAAGTGTTCGCTGGCGGAGAAGTTGAAAAGCGTTACCGAAAGATACTGAAGGCTTTTCCCTTTCACGGAGTTAGTGCACAATAAATTCAATTGAATGTCCGATATTACAATTTAGCTAAAAGAGAAACGCAGATTAAACCCTTTTTATTCGCGCTCTTTAGTTTATCAACTTTACCATTTAGCGTTAGCACACAGTAACAACAACAACAACGAGTAAACAACAAACTATTGCTCTCCTACCAGCCACTTGGTGTCCTGGTTGCAGCTCGATCATGAGGGCTGAAATTGGATAAAATAGTCACATTATCAGATGGAGAAATACCGCCGAGCTTTCAGAAAAGTACCTGTCCCTCTCCTTAAAAAATGACCAGGTAATGTTGTTTTTTGTTAATTTAGCCCATCGCTTGTAGTAATCTTCATAAGACTAACATTAACATTCTGCCTGTATTTGCACATCCTTTGCACTGTTTACTGTTTGCAATGTTTAACTGTAGCCTACTGTTTCATTTAATACTGGTTAAGTTTTATCACCTGTTAAGTTTATACTGTTAAGTTTATACTGTTAAGTTTATACTGTTAAGTTTATGTTTGCAATGTTTAACTGTAAGCCACTGTTCATTGTTATACCTGTTCATTTTACATACATCTTATCTTTTATCTTATTTTTTGACTCTGTTCTTAAGGTCAGGGTTTTTAATTTTAGTTTAATGTATGTTTAATGTATGTTTTGTATTTTGTATGCTACTGGATGCTTGAATTTCCCTCCGGATAAATAAAGTATCTATCTATCTATCTATCTATCTATCTATCTATCTATTACACCAATGCCTCTATGATCTGCTTTCCAGCTCATCACTGTGATTACCAATGGCGCACTGAAGGGCAAGAAGGTTGGGACCATGATTAAAGGCATATTTAAAGGTAAGTCCCCAATGCCAGCCGCCATATGTCCAGAGTCATTACAAAATAACCTACATTTGGTTTTAATGTGGTGTTTTGTGTTAGGCTCTCCACCCGGTTCCACTGAGGGATCGAACCGCCGACTTCTTGTTTATCAACACTGCATCCCTCTGTGTGAGTCTGGGGATCTTCAGACTGAGGTGGCAGCTGATATCATTGGACTGCTGATGCTGGAGGTAAATATGATGCTTTTGATGAGCATCTACTTATACAGCAAGTGGCTTATATTAATGAGAGTGGTCGGGGCTCGTTGTCAGTAACTCGCATAGTCACTGGTTGAGTTACTGTATCTTGATTATTTCTCACAGTTTGATCCATAAATGCATCCCTGCAAACTGCAGTGAAAATGCAGACCTGTTTCTGGTATACTATATATGTTATGCTAACAGTCTGAGCCACTAGGTACATTAATTTCCCCAAGGGGATTAATAAAGTATCTATTTATCTATCTATTGTAGAAATGATTACAAACATAATTATTAAAACATCATTTGAGGACATGCACAAATTCTTTCTGTTCTTGTGTCAACTTCATTTCTCTTTCCATTTACCCAAAACAACATCCTGTTCATCATTTATCATCAGTTTGGGCATTATCTTGAAATGTGTTTTACATTTTTTGCCCTTTTCTTTGTTCATCTGTCTAGAAGATCACATCTGTCCACTTACCATTTTGCATCTTAAATGTCATACACAGACTCATACCCTGTCCGGACCCTCTCTTGCACAACTGGCGTCTCTTTTTGTTGAAGCCATTAAGGTGGGAAAAATGGGCAGTGGGAAATCCCTGGAGCTATTTCCTACTGTGCTTACTGCCCTTTCAGCCTGTGAAGCCTTGTCTTATGGCAAAGGTAAGTGCAAATTACGATCATCGGTAACTCTCTTATTATATCAGACACAATGACATCTATCTCAGTTGTTTTATCTACAATGTGCAGATGTTGAAAGATGATGGATCTCGGCCTCTTGTGGTTGCTTGTTATTTTATCATAACTTTAGGCGAACTCAGTGGTGAGGAATACAAGAAACAGCTGATCAACAGCCTCTGCTCAAGCAGGTGAGGACATCTTAGATTCCAAACTACATGCACATGTGCAAATGTACATGTAGTTTTCAAGGAGTTCTCATATATGATAACAACGGCACGTCCGCTCCCCTCATTGAGATTAAATATCTAAGCCTAAACCCTTAGATATGGATCCTTAACAGCATATTATTATTATTATATGCAGATGGGACCCTCAATGTGTTATCCACCTGACGACCATGTTCAGGTAACACCTTTTACTATTAGACCATCACATTCTCAGATACCATTCAGAGTACCTTGTATTTTCCTTTTTGTATTGCTGTCACAATGTTTTATCTGTTTCTTGTTGTGCTTCCCTCATTGTAGGGATGTGCCCTTGTCACCAGAGGAGCTGCGGTTTGTGGTGGAGAAAGTACTGAGGATGTTCACCAAACTGGATCTGCAGGAGATCCCTCCACTTGTTTATCAGCTGCTGCTTTTGTCTGCAAAGGTGTGTGTGTGTGTGTGTGTGTGTGTAACAATATTTGGATTTTAAGTAGCAGTTAATCAAGTTTCCTCTTTGTTTCAATGATCTAAATACCTGCACTGCACTGTGTTTGTTAGGGTTGCAAGAAACAGGTCCTGGATGGAATCATCAGTTATTTTAAGGAGCAAGACGTTTGCCAGGAAGAAGAACAAAAACATGGAGAGTGAGTGTCTCATACATTACAAGTAGCATAAACTGTATTCACTCTCAATCTTATTGCATTCACTGATCGTTGTTTTTGTTTTTTTTGCTGTTTCTTCCTCAGGAGCCTGGATCTGGAGGTTCAGTCAATTCCACAGGACCAGCTGAGGCATGTGGAGGGCACTGCTATCCTCCACATAGTCTTTGCTATACGACTCGACCAAGAACTCGGCAGAGAATTCCTTAAAAGCTTTAAGGTCATTTATAAAGACCTGTTATTAAATTATTTTTGTTTACTTTTGTAATGTAGAATGTACCATAAACCTTGAATTGCATTTCTGCAGATATCTTACGGGGATCTCTGCCCGTTCAGTGTTGCCCTGTTGCTCTCAGTGGCACGCATTCAGCGTTATGAGGAGCAGGTCAGAAACCTATACTATTTTCCCTACACTTATTTGATCCTTATTTTATTATTTCTGCTCACCTATTTGTTCTCTGTTCTCGTTTGGGTAGGTGTTTGACCTTTTGAAGGTGGCGATCATCAAGAGCTTTAAAGATGAGCAGCTGCAGCAGGGATCAAAGTTCCTGCAGGACCTCCTGCCCGGACACTGCAGCGTGGCTCAGATGATACTGGACACAGTCAGGAACAGGTCAGAGCATCAAAACATTATAATATTCTGGCTAAAATAAACCTGTGAGATGTATAAAGTGAAGAT